TTTATTTAGTTTTGAGAGAGAGAGAGAGAGAGAGAGAGAGACAGGGGGAGACACAGTTCGAGTAGGCTCCAGGGCCCCAGCTGTCAGCACAGACCCCAACTGCGGGCCTGGAACCCAGGGACCTGTGAGATCATGACCTGAGCTGAAGTCTGACGCTCAGCCAACTGAACCACCCAGGCGCCCCCTTTCACATCTTTCACCTGTTCTTTGGCTGCTCTACCTCAACTTGAGAAAATGCTTCCTTGCCTGTTTCCACCTCATCTGCAGCCACAGTACTTAATTTAATGGACTCCCCACTTCCCAGGTGCCCCCCAGCTGCCGTTCCCACTCCTTGCCTCCCTCCCCCTGTGCTGCCTTCCTGTCCTGTTTCCCTGGCCCCCCCAGTCACACCCTCCCAGGTCTCCCAGGGCCTCCCTGACTGTGTCGTCCTCCTGTCTGATTCCTTTTTCTACCTGCAAACGCTGGCAATTCTTAAAAACTGGGTGAGTTTCTTCTCCTATGCCTTCTCTGTATGTTCTAAGTAATTTCTTCCCATTCGCCTAGAACCTTGGGCAGTCTGAGCACTGATGGCTCCAATCTCTCGCTCTGGGACGTGTGGCCGTCTTCAGTATGGTGCGTTCCACACATCCGACTCGGGATGGATCACTTTTTTCATTCCATCTGGCTCCTCATACAAATTTCCGATGGTTCGTGGTTCACCCTAAGCATAAATTAGCTGCAAGTTTGTTAAAAGATAAACTGAGACGTATTAAAAAGTTACGTTTAGGGGTGCCAGGGTGGCTCAGACGGTTGAAGGTCCCACTCTTGATTTCGGTTCAAGTCGTGATCTCGTGTCCTGTGTTCAAGCCCCATGTCCGGCTCTACGCTGACATTGTGGAACATGCTTGGGATTCTCTCTCCCTCTCTCCCCGCCCCTCCCCTGCTCCAGTATGTGCTTGCACCCACGCTCGCTCTCTCTCTCTCTCTCTCTCAAAATAAGTAAATAAGCATTTTCTAAAAAAAAAAAAAAAGTGTATTTGAGCAAGATTAATTTGGATGGGGCAGCATCCAATCTAGCAGGTGGAAAGGAGCTCTGAGGAGCTGTGCAAAAGCAAAGATTTATAAGCAGAAGGGATTGGGAACGAGGAAGTTACACGGGGAAGACATATCGCAAAAGCCCCTTTCCCCTAGGGGATGGCAGGGGTCTGTCAGGTCGATGACCTCGCTGGAGCTGGTCAGGCAGCTCCCGACTGACTGGTTTAAGATTCCGATTCTGGGAGAGCCAGAATGTAATTAGGTTAAGTCTCCGGATCTGGGGCTGAGCATAAGCAACTCCACGTGGGGCCTGTGCTCTTGTTTCTAACCAGCCTGGGCGTAGGCCCTGACCCTTCCTGCTCCCTGTCCCTCATATGATCAGTCACCCAGCCTGGCAATGCTACCTTCCACTCTCTGGGGCTCGCGTTTCCTCGGTGGTTGGCAGCGGCTGGTCTGTGGCCGGGGTGGGTGGGCAGCTTCCCCAGGCTCAGCGGTGGGCCACTGCAGTTTCCTAAAACCTGGGGCACGCCTGTACGACATTCGTTTAAATACCATACCTGGCTTTTCCAGTGCAAACTTCTTGCCTCAGCACACCCTGCCTGTCACCCAAGACCCCCTCCCTGGGCCCCACGTGCACGAACCATGCACCTGCTGCCGTCTTTCCCCCAGCCAGCCCCACCCCTGGCTGCGGCCTCAGCGGTCACCTCCCCTGTCACGGCCTCACAGAGACCCCTGCCCAGCCCCTTAGAGCCAGCTACGCTGCACCTTCTCCTGAGCTTCTAGAGAGAATTCATTCCACTTCTCCGTGGGCTTCCTTAGCACTTTGTAAATTATCCGGTTTCAGAGCACACAGCTGGCTTGAGACCACACGTTTCTGTGTGTGTGTGTGTGTGTGTGTGTGTGTGTGTGTGTGTCCCTAGGGTGGGAGCTCGCAGTAAGGAATTATGGCATCTGCTGCTCGTTCTCCTCTCTAAACCACATAAGGAAAGTTCTGCATAAATGCTGTTTGCCTCAATCCACTTTTGGACGTGTCTGTGGGGAGGTGGAGGGAGCGAGGGGATCACAGGCATTCTGGGTCCCCCGGCGGGGTTGGGGGGAGAGCGACGCCTCGGACTTGCTGCCCAATCTGCTACTCTTACTGTGAGCCTTGAGGACAGTCTTTAATTGCCCTGACCCTGGTCATCAAAGAAAAACTAGCTTAATGCCGACTTATGTTACAGCCTGGAAATCTTTCCACATTGTTGTGTTTTTATGACACAACGCTGAACTCCGTGGTGGCACTGGTACCCAGAGGTGTCGTTGCATGTTGTATTGAAATTCAGTCCTTTTCATGTTTATTGGGCAGGTTCCACTCTGGTCGAAGTCCAGCCCTCTCAAAGGCTTAATAGACACCTGAGGTTGGGGCACCGAGAGCCAGCGGGGGAAAGAATCATTCGGTTCTCCTGTTCCAGCTCCTGCCTCTTCACCACTGTGACCTGGGACCCGCCCCGGAGGTGCTTTTGCGGTGAGTGTGCACCCAGTGAGTCATTGCCGTGGGGGCAGACACTGATGGTGAATACTCTGCTAGTGACCAGCACCTGATGGCGTGCAAGTGAAGGAAGAGGAAAGGTGGAAGAAACCAGAAGCAGGCATTTGCCATTAAGTGCAGTTAAAACATAAAGTTGGGATTGCTGTGATATCCCAGTTCACTCCTTTGCCTGTTCAGACCGGACCACACGCGCGCGCACACACACACACACACACACACACACACACACACACCCGCACTCACACTCACCAGCCTACACTTATGCTCAGGTAGGATTACATCCACATTCCTGTTTACCAAAGGCTCTCCTCCTTTGGGTCTGTTCGGCGCCACCTTCTTTGCTGGCCCAGTGCTGTGAAGATCGCCTATCCCTTTGGCTTCTAGCTGTTTATTTTCTGAAAAGTCCTCAAATTTGAGGTGAGGGAATGTGGGGCCGGGAGTGGCCTGCAGGGAGGCTGGGCCCTGATCTGTTGTGGGACTCGCCTGCTGCAGACATGTCGGTTTCCCCAAGTCTGCAGCCCTGGGGTTCAAGCTGTGCAGCTGAAGGTTCTGGAGAGGCTTCCAGAGGAAGGAAACTTTCACTTCTGTCCTCTAATGACCTGTTAAGTATAGCATACTGCTGTGCAAGCTGTGTTATTATTGTATTCTCTTGGTTGATGTTTTAAAAATGTCTTTCTTTTTTTTTTTAAATTTATTTAATTATTTTGAGAGAGAGAGAGAGAGAGAGAGAGAGAGAGAGAATCCCAAGCAGGCTCTGCATTGTCAGCACAGAGCCTCATGCAGGGTTGGAACTCACAAAATTGCGAGATCATGACCTGAGCTGAAATCAAGAGTTGGATGCCTAACCAACTGAGCTACCCAGGCACCCTGCTAATTCCATTTTTTAAATATTTATTTATTTTTGAGAGAGAGAGAGAGAGAGAGAATGAACAGGGGAAGGGCAGACAAAGAGGGAGACACAGAATCCAAAGCAGGCTCCAGGTTCTGAGCAGTCAGCACAGTGCCTGACATGGGGCTCGAACTCATGAACTGTGAGATTATGATCTGAACTGAAGTCGGACACTTAACCGACTGAGCCACCCAGGAGCCCCTTGATAATTCCATTTTTTTTTTTTTTAATTTATTTTTGGGACAAAGAGAGACAGAGCATGAACGGGGGAGGGGCAGAGAGAGAGGGAGACACAGAATCGGAAGCAGGCTCCAGGCTCCGAGCCATCAGCCCAGAGCCCGATGCGGGGCTCGAACTCACGGACCGCGAGATCGTGACCTGGCTGAAGTCGGACGCTTAACCGACTGCGCCACCCAGGCGCCCCGATAATTCCATTTTTAAAGGAATGCCTTCTAGGGATTGAGAAAGACTGACTGTCTTGGGTTTAAAACAGGAAAGAGGCTTTTAAAAAATACAATAAAACCTTGGTTTGTGAGCATAATTCATTCTGGAAACATGCATGTAATCCAAAGCATTTGTATATCAAAGTGAATTTCCTCAGGAGAAATAACGGAAACTCAGATGATTCATTGCACAACCCAAAAATATTCATATAAAAATTATTATAATGCTGTAATATAAAACCATAAAGAGAATAGAAAATAGAAAGAAAAATGAACAAATTAACCTGCACTTACCTTTGAAAACCTACATGGTTGGTGTGAGGAAAGCAAGAGAAAGGAGGGTTATTGTGTAGGACGACTTTCAATAAACTCTTGCCATTTACTGTATTTAACGTAACTGGCAATAAGGCAGCAGAGGAACGGGTCTGTATCTGCAGGCGGCCTGACCTAGAATGAAGCAAAGCATTCCTAAAGCTTGTATGGAAAAGCAAAGGACTGTCCATAGGTGCTTTGAAGTGACAAAAAATATACTAGTGCCAGTTGTGGGCACCTCCCAACGTTCTGAAAAATCACTGATTTCTGCCAGATGCCGTTGCCTGAGCATGGGAGACGATCACCCACAATCCCGCAGAGAGAGAGAGAGAGAGAGAGAGAGAGAGGAACCATTGGCTCAGTGTGATCATGTGACATTCAGCATCACATACTACTCGAATTGCAAGAACTCACTCATTTATCGAGTTGAAATGTACTGGAAATGTTTGCTCATCTTGCAGAACACTCGCAGAACAAGTTCCTCACAATCCAAGGTTTTACTGTATTTTTATCTCAACAGAGCAGGGAAACAATTTACAGTGACACATCGTTTAAAGTAAATGCTCTAAGGAAAGGTAGAGAGGTCAGGAAGGCAGGAAGGAGTAAGCTGGGATGAAGGTCAAGGCTGGCTTGGTCAGGCTGGACTCCGATTTGGTGCCTCTGACTCAGAGTGTTCACCTAATGACTTGAGATTTAGATTCATATTTTGTTTCCCTGCTTATGGGCTCTGTTGCTGGGTGCTTGCCACTCCCCCCAATTTCAAACCAGATATGGTCCATGGAAAATAGTGTGTCTGTTGGAGTCTTCCTGATTCAAAGTGAATTTTCTGTCTTCCTAGTAGCTCCTATTTTAGGTCAGATCATCCTAAACCCACCCTTATAATGTTGTGAAATCCATCCAGTTGATCTGTGTCTTTTTCTCTCTCTCTCTCTGCCCCTCCCCCACCACACTCTGTCTCTCTCTGTCTCTCAAAAATAAATAAACATTAAAAAAAAATTTAAAAAAAGGGAGGGGCGCCT